ATTAGATAACATCTAAATATGATAGTTACATAATGACTTCAGGTCAGAATGCCAAGTTAAGCAATGTCACAATTTCAAAGCAGTGTCAGTTGAGAATATTATTGCGATGGGAATCTTGGCATAGAGCCGGTATCTCGGGACGTCGATAACAACTGCTATGACAGTGACAGTAACACTGCGGGAGCACCCACACGTCACAAAACAAGAGCAACTGTCACAACTAGATCCCTCAGTGGGCCTTGTGAGGGACAGGAACAGACAGAGTGAGTTCCTCCTGACAACATCTTTCAACTCCCGCACTGTTCAGGTTGTTCCCTCGTGTCGCTCCCACTCCACAGTTTATTTTATTTTATTTTATTCACATGGATTTTTGAGCATTGGATAGGAAGCACTTGTTGTGCTTATGTAAATCCGCTGCTCATAAAACATAATACAAATGTAAAACATAAAGATGACATAAAGTATAGCAATAACATAAAATGAAAGTGGCTGGCGCACCAATACCTAGCATAACATTATTGAGATTGGTCAAATCTTCCAGAGTGGTGGATATAGTTAAACACAATATCAAAGATACGGCAGTTGGTAGGGTATGGGAGGGAGGGGCTACCTGTAAGAAGTAGAGTACATAATGTGGCGTCGTTTGCATTGAGTGGTACCTGCCGCTGCCATACCTTATCTCTGCAGTGAAGTGTAATAGTTAGAGACTTTTGCCTGGGGTGAATCATATTATTACTATAAATCTTGAAGTGTGCAAGGTAGTTTTGATTTCGCTATTTTTGCAATCTTCCTATCGCAAAATTGACACTATGAATATGCATTTCCATTGTATTACTATTGTACGTTTAGAAAAACAAGAACATATTTTTCTGTAGTGTAGCACATACACACAGAGACATTTTCTGGTTACGTCGATGAAGGTTAGACATCCAGGTAATACGATACGCCAAAAAGCAGTTACTCAAGCAACTGGATATGATTTTGGAATATAATTTTGGATTTTCCAAAATCATATCCAGTTTGGATTTTCCAAAATCATATCCAGTTGCTTGAGTAACTGCTTTTGGCGTACATTTTCTGGTTCCTCGCAATGTCATATGGCCTGACGTCATTTCTATAACC